CCTACAAATTCACTTTGCTCAGATGCTCAATTCTAAGATCTAAACCCTTTAGGATTTTGTGAAGAAAACAGATTTCTCTCTACATGTATTTCCAGCTCTTTGATCTGGGAAATAGGGTCAGCTATTATGCACTGATCAAGTGAACTATGAATACTTGGAATAGCAAATTTCATAATTTTTTCCACAAGTTCTGTTCAAAAATATAATTTTAGGCAAGGTGAACCTCTGGCATTGATGCATTTCATAATTTTGTTAGAAGCAAAATATCTTTAGGAGCTTTTGTGTCTAAGGTCTCACAGAGATTGAGGCAATTGACATTTTGTTTTGAGATTCCAAATCAAGATAATTCAGAAAATTCTTGTGAGCCAAAAGGGAAATCATTCTTAACATACTGGCTAAATGTAATTGCTAATGGTCATATAGGTTAATATTATTGTACACATCCAATAATTACTAAAGTTCTTCTTATTGACTTTACTGTTTGAGAGAGACCATTTTTCTATTAGAAACATTTATAATTGTTTTCCTGTAATTGTCTGAGATAAGTTACAATTGTGTCATATAATGACCTTTAAAAACATGTCTAGAAAAGCCTGCAGCTGTTCCCTCCTTGGGTTCTCTCTACCGAGTTATATTTAAGCCAGTGTCTCTGAAACCAGGCAGTAATAAAAGGGATATTATCCTTAGCAAATATCTTAATCATGGTAAATCTCTGTTGCCCTACAAATGACTGCATGGGGGATTAGAGTGGAGTAAGCCATTTGCTGAATATCACTGCCACCTTTCCGAGGCCATTTAAGCGTGTTTAATTTTTCAGGGTGAAACATGAAACCCACTAATACAAATGTTTGCATTTGGCCTGAATTATATCCAGACTGTAACAGTTAGAGCAGGCTTAGGACCAGATTGTGAGTGATCTGTAGGAGGCCAGTTCTGCTTGGGAGAGTGAGAGAGAAAAATGCATTTTTGTTCCCGGTCCCAGCTCTCTTATGTCACTTATGCTGCCTTGCTTCTTTTCAATATTTATGTGAGGCTATCATGGGGTTAAGTACCAGTAAATATATGGATGATGCTTAGCTCTGTATTTTTTAAATATCAATCCTTACTGTCATCCAGTGCCTGGGAGCCATGAGTGTCTGACTTGGGTTCATCCTGGCTAAAATGGAGGTGACAATGCTATGAAGTACAAAATACTTTCAGGGACTTGTGTCCTCCATTGCATCACTTCCCACCTGTGTGTTTATGCAGATTTCTATCAGATTGCCCAGAAACACTGAGACGCCCTGTTTTCCAGTGGTCAAGCTTAAGAAAATCTTTTGGGAGACTGAAATGCTACTGTGCATTTCATGCTTTCTTTTTTCCCTTTTAACAAAGCAGTGTCTTCTTTCTGTGCCTGCCCAGGCAAATGCAACCCTAGCCAGTTTGGACTCAGCCAGAGCCTTTGGACTGGCAGCTCCAGGAGGTGTTTCCTGGGACAGAATTCCGTGACTGGGAGGTGATACATGTTTCAGGTGGCACAGCCCTCTTATTCCACATTGCAGTGTGCCAGGAACACATCACCCACATTCCTTGTTTCCAAGGAATCTACACTCGGCTTCACCTCCCCAGCCTGATTTCTTGAGCTTTCCATCAGGCAGCTTTCCCCATAAGCCTGAACATGACTTCCCAGAGTGGCTATGAGGATAAGAGCTGTGAGTATGAGAGGCAGTGTTTTGTTGTTCATAGGATCGTGGAATCATAGAACAGTTTGGGTTGGAAAGGACTTTAAAGACCATCTAGTTCCAACTCACTTGCTATTATCAGAGACACCTTCCACTATCCCAGGTTGCTCACAGGCCTATCCAGCCTGGACTTGAGCACTTCCAGGGATGGGACAGGCACAGCTTCTCAGTTCCAGTCCCTCACAGTAAATAATTTTTTCCTAACATCCAACATAAACCTGCCTTCCTCCAGCTTAAGGCCATTCCCCCTTGTCCCTTCATACACGTCCTTGTGAAAAGTCCCTCTCCAGCTCTCTTGTAGCCCCTTTAGGAACTGGAGCAAATTGTTGTTGATTGTCTCATGACTGCTGGACAGATCTTCAGCAAAGGTGTGAATGTCTGTCCATCCCAGTGTTTACTGTGCTCAATGAAATATTCTCTGTTTTTAAATCCCAGGCAAGTTTCCAAATGACAAGCCTTGACTCTGAATGGTCAGCAGACTTTAATAAATATTCTAACGACCTTAAATGAGACCATAGGATGGGTGGTTAAGCAGTTATACTGTTAATTGGGAGATGTAGCTAGTAATAACCAAATTGAGAGAGAAAATTGAGTTAGTGCCTGTAAGAAATGAGACACTCACAGTGGACCCTCTCATCAGAGACTTAAAAATGATTATTTTTCTAAACTTAATTACCTATTTCATTTTTCAACCACTTCAGCCAGACATAAGTATTCTTTTCTGGGACAGTGGTTTAACATAAATTATATATAACTTGTCTTATTGTAGAGTTTGTGTCTTTCTGCTTTTAGCTTGAATCCATGTTTTTTCTCTAAGGAAAAAATAAATTCTGTTAAATGGATAAAGTTTTATTATACTCTGTTAAGTTTTCTACTGTATAGGAAGGTTAAAGCTTTTATTTAATTTTCCTCACAGAAGAAATGAAATTCCTGTGGGAGACAATCATAGGTGAAGATGAAAACCCCTTGGTGTTTTCAGTATACATTTCAGATGCTTTCACGGTGATTTTGGATGAAATACCTACATAGATAAAATGGACATAGAATAATAGAACTATTTGGATTAGAAAAGCCCTCTAAAATCATCAAGTCCAACAATTAACCTGACACTATCAAGTCCACCATTAATTCTTCACAGGTGTATGAGGTTTCTTTCTCTTTACTTTGAAGGTGCAAACTTCTATTTCTGATTCCAGCCACTGTTTTGTACACTCAGTGGTTGTGGGTTTATCCCTGTAGCTGCTGCTGAGGGATGTCTGCTCTTTGCACAGACTCTCCCATGAAAGAGTGAGGCCTTAATTGCTTCATCTAGAGAGGTGGATCAGAAAGTGTTTTCACATTCACTAAATATTTTAGAGGTTTGAAAGTTTCTCTGCAGCAGGATAAAAACTAGAAATGTTCAGAGAATTTTGTAAAAAGGCTGCAAAGTGTGAAGAAAAATGATGTACTGGAATAGGGTCCAAGGTTAAGCTTCTCAGCTGGACTGAAGGTTCAGAACAGGGTTTTCACATTCCAGTTGATACTCTCATCACCAGGTAATTGGCTATTTTGAGGAGGGTATTTTTTGGCTTCAAGTAGGAACTTTCAAGCTGAGCATGAAAAGTCATTTTGTTCTCAGATGTTTCTTTTAAATCAGTATGCCTCTGTTTTGGTATAATACATGTTTTCTCCATACAGTTTCTTCTGAAAAAATATAATCTAAGGTAGAAATTAGCCCTTCTTTGCACATGGAGTCAACCAGATGACCTCCTGAAAAGTTCTCCAACCTAAATTCTATGATTCAGCTTGGAAAGATCACCCTTGATCTCTAATAAGCAAAAATGATTCTTGAACTGAGAGTTACAATACAGTAAAAAATGTCACATTAAGTGCTGAATGCCATGGTCTAAAGAAAGACTTAAGTATTAACTTATAAACAAATTATTAGCTAGTGTTCTCAGTTGTTGAGTAGTTTTATGCATATGAACTTTGCATAAGTTCTCATATAGATATATTATATATATATATTTACATATATATATTTATTTACATATAGATAGATATATAGATAGATATATATGTGTGTGATATTACACACAGAGAACTGTGTAAGGGAAGGACAAAAACCATGTCTATGCCAGTAAGTGATGCAGGGCCAGGGGCATCCCCAGGCACTGGATGATGCTCATGTGCTCTATGACCCCACTTTGACCTGGTACAAGTGGAAGCATTCAAGAGGAAATGACTGCTCATGCCTGGGATTTTACCATGGGCACAAAGCCTTCCCATTTAGCAATCTGGATGCTGTTGTGGCTACATTTCAAATGCTAAATAACACAAGGAAGTGGAAGGTCACTCTACAGAGGCTGGGGAAGTTGAAGTTATATTCCAGTCTGTGTCCTGAGTTGCCTGCGGTGTCCATAGACAAGCCACTTCAGTTCTTATAGTCTCTTTATGCCACTTGCATTATCTTAGCCTCTTTCTTTCATATGTGTAAGTGTCTTGCTTTAAAAACTCAGCTTTTCAAAATAGTTTTTGTTTTCTGTGGTATATTGGCAGGCACACATGGGAAGGGCCTGTTCTAGGTTGGGACCTCTAGAGGTTCCCATAAACCAAATAATAAAGACAAGGGAATGACATGTGATTTCTTATGAAATGACCATCCAGTGTCCTTGAAAGATGTAAACTGAGTGATTGTTCTGTGTGTACCAGCTTTACAAGAGCAAGAGTGCCCATTTCAAGAAGGATTTGGGGACAAGCTTCTGCATATCTGTGTTTGCAACAGGCAGGAGCAGCTTCTGAAATTATTAAATTTAGTATAACTTCCATAATTATTAAATTTAGTATAACTTCTATTGGATCTGTCATGGAAGAACTGCTGTGAAAAACAAGTCATGGAGCATGATTATGTTTGCATTTGAGCTGCTGTGATATAGAATAAATGTCTGGCACATAAAGGGCTGCTTCATGGATAAGATAGGTTCCTAAAGATGGGCTTTTACCTTCCCTTTCCATATTACCATGTAGAAAACACTCAAATGCCATGCCACTTCACTTATCTCTCTGTAAAACGAAAATATAGGCTATTTAACAGAACTGACATGTGCTGGGTTAAAATACATTTTTAAATGTGTTAATAATGCCACAGAGGGAATGTGTAATGGGAGAGATCAGTGCTCCTGTAGCAAATGCAGTGCTGAGGCTGAGGCTGTGCTGAGGCTGGGGCTGTGCTGGGAGCTGAGGTATATCCCTGAGCCCACCCTGGATCAGCTGAGTAATGAAGTGTTTGTTTGCTTCCAGATGAATACAAGAGTAAAGTAGCCTGCGAAGATGACAAGCTGAGGCTGAGCTGTAAGAAGAGCATGGTGATAGCCATTTACTCTGCTATCTTTGGGAGGACACAAGGAGGCAGCCTGGAGTGCCCATACCAAAACCTAGGGATGCCCATGATTGGTAAGCAGGGGAATGGCTTGATGACACACTGATGTGGGCAGAACTGGCACAGACCCTGGTCAGAAAAGCAGGACTGGGAGGTGCAACCTGCCATGGTGGTGCTCCTGATGTGTGGTACCTTGTCAACCATCAGTGAGCTTCATCATGAGCACCAAATGAGGTGCAACTATTTGTCCTAGCTGAGTTCCCAGGTCACAGGCTTTTCACAGATTCATCTGATTGTATGATTGAAGGTGCTTGAATTTATTGTTCAATCTTCTGTCTTTGTGGTGGTTCATCCACTGAGCCGCTGCCTGTAATTTGGAGGAACATATTATCTGGGGATGTCATGTACCATCTACAGCCACTGAAGCCTTGACATTGCATTTAAACTTTTACTGAAGTGAAAGCAAATTCAAAAAGCAAGTTGTTAAGTTTCATCATATTATGATTGGCTTACAGTACCTTCAAATATCTTCTTTACTCTCAGACTATCAGGGTCTCTTACAGTCATGAGTTAAAGATAAATAATTGAAAAACATTCACTGGAACTTGAGCTGATGTGAAATGACTTTGAATATTTTAGGCTGTGGCAGAGAAAGCAACAGTCACAGTACAAAATCCTGTGCTCAGCATTTGTCAAAATTCTTTGCAGAGCTGAGAGGGAATGAACAGGTTTCCCAAAGGAATTGCCTCCAGAGAGGGAAAGGCTTCAGAGGAGACTGCGCAGGGAACCTTGATCCACTGCTATTGCCCGTGCTGGGATCTATTCAGCTGTATCTGAGGATGTTTGGCTTCACAGCTGCTGATCCAGTGCCCTTAAGGAGTTAAATGCTGTTCAAATGGAAGCATGTCAAGTGAGCAATATGATATTCAGATGATGGGTGTCAGTAGAAACCCACAGGTGGAATGAGGCCAGTCAGGTTATTTGTGCAGCGTGGTGAGTGTCTTGCTTGTGTGGCTGTGCAAATCTGAGCACTTGTAGCACAGCTGAGTTGTGCAGGGTGTCCTGAGGTGACCAGTGTTCCTGGATGTGCTCCTGAAGTCCCTCAGTTGCCAGAAGCCAAAACAGATGTGTGTGGCAGGTTACCCTGGACCTCTTTGCTGTGGTCTTTGGGGTGGGCTGTCTGTGCCCTGGGTGCTGTGGTGGTTGGGCTGCTGGGTGAGAACTTGCCAAGTCAGTGAAACAGGATGGGTTTCTGGAGTAGACCTGAGCACCCCATCATGTTGTCCTTGCTGAGAGGGCAGGAACAGGCACTTGCCAGTGACAAGGCACCAGCACAGGGACCCACTCTTCAATGCCAGCATGAAACAAAACTCTATGTGAAGCCACAAAGGGTAAAGTTTTATTCTTCTTTTCCCAGCTGCAAAATCATGAAACTGGTACTGGCTGAGAGCAGGGTATGAGGGACCAGAAAATGGGACAGCAGGCACAAACAGGGACAACAAGCAGTGGGGTCTGACAGCAGGGCTGCATGTGCCATATGATCTCTAGCACCTGTATGCCCTGCTGTTCTCAAACTGGGCTTGTGAGCTCTACAAATTGGGATGTTTGCCCAAGGAAATGAGGTGTCAGATCCTAGAGTGCAGCACTCAGTCTACTGCTGGGATGAGGCAGGGCCTTCCTCAAGTGTCAGCTCCTAAATGAAATTACTTACATGAGCAGGCTCAGTGTAATGCCAAGTCAGAGGTGGGAATGCTGAGGAAACTTTACACTAAGAAACCAGCTCAAGGTTTTAAGCTGTGAACAGATGCTAAAAATGACAAAGTTGTTGTACAGGGGCAAATATCCACATGTTTGGAATTGCTGAGGTCTCAAGTATCTTAAGTCAGTCTGGTGCTCCTGGGGTGCTGTGGGAGTTGGTATGTCCTATCCATAAGAGCAAAGGGAGGGTGGGAAGGGGTCTGGAATGTCTGCTGGCTGCATGCCCTGCAGGGCTGGGGAGGAGATGTGAGGAACTCACCATGGAGCAGTGACTTCCCCAGGCCTTGCCTGCCACTTGGGCTCTGTGTGTGTGGGGTGAAAGACAGACTATGGCTGTTGATGTTTCCTTGAATGATGAAATCCTGATCAAATTGTGGGGGCAGGGTGAGCTTAACTAAAAGAAAATTGGAGGTGAGCAGATGGTCATTGCCAATTCACCGTGCTCCAGCCCTTAAATCCCAGTCATGTTTGGGAGTGTTTGTTTAGGTTTCCTCAGCTACAGCTCAGGGATCCCCTTGGCACAAGTCAGTCTCTGCTTATCACAGCCTTCCCTTCATCTGCCTGTGTGAGCTGACCCAGTGGGGCAGAGCTCCAGTGCTGCAGGAATGGGAAGGTGAGCTCTGGCTGTAGTTTGCACTTCTCTTGGCCCCACAGGAGAAACTGGTGTAGGATCCTCCTCCAACCCAAATCAGCAAAAATCACATTCACACTGTGCTTCCCCATGGCACCCTGCAACCCTCCCATTCCTGTCTCCAGGGACAAGAGCAGGTTGTGCTCCCAGCTGCCAGGAGTGATTGTGGGAGCAGCACTCAGGGTCCCCCAGCCTGCTTCAGAACTGCTCTTCTAACAGGCCTGCCTAGCCCAGCAGGCAGCTCTGTTCCTTCAGGAGCAGGTGGAAACATCACAATTTATAAATCAAAGCTTCTGCTAGCTGGAGAACATTTCCCTGCACGTTTCCACAGCCCTGCAATGTGGGGAGGGCTCCTCCGTGGCAGACTTTGATCCCAGACATTCACAACAAGCTGATCTTACAAACATGACTGTATGAGTCAGACTTTGCAGCAACATCCAGTTCCTGTAAGGCAGAACCCAGCTATGTTCTGTACATGGGAGATTTATTTTGTTTGAATTTCATGGGTATGATGATTTGTGTCAAGTCTGAACCTTAGCAAAGGGCATTTTGCTGGAAGTAGGACCTGCACAAGTTTGCAGTGATTATTTTTATCCATGCAGCCTGAGCTACTTGATGAGTGAAGAAGTCAAACTTGCCTCAAAAGCAGTGAAGATTATCTGTTCTTCCTCTCCTAATGAAAAGCAGTTCAGAAAATTTGGTTCCATTTTTCTTTCTGTGGACATTTGGATTGAATGCACATTTGGATTGAATTTAGAAATGCACAAATGCATTTCACAAATACACAATTTAGAAATGTGCACAAATGCACATTTGGATTGAATTTAGAAATATACAGCTTCTACAGGTGAGGATTTTAAAGAACTGAGGTCTAAGATGGGCAGGAGAGATGGCCTAATAGAGCATTGCATATGTAAGGTAAACCAATTCAATTTGTGTTGTTTCTGCCTTGAAAAACAAGACCTTGTACTCCTGTGGAAGTGTTGAGGAGAAAAAGTGTACTACCTGAATTTCCTGGATTCTACATTAGGTGCTCAACTGGTTTCTGAGGTATCCTGGTGTTGCAGACATTTTAACCCAGCTATTGCTGTGCTGCTTTTTGGGTGATGAAAGATCCCCAAGTCACCCTTGACATGCCATGCCATGCCAGACACATGCTTTCTCTTTGTATAATGTCTCTGTGAATGTTCTTAGCATGTATGAGGAGAAAGTTATGGTGGAGAACTCCATCTTACTGCTGTCATGTTAAAGTGAAAATCTGTCAGGATCCTCTTTTAACTGGAAGCATGCTGAAACTTGCGTCTCTGTCCGTAATGGGAAACCCCTGCAAACAGCTGGAGCCCTCCTTGAATGCCTTGGGAACTCTGAAAAGCTCCTAAAAGAATTTGACCTTATTTGTAACTCTCTTAATAAAGCCTCCACTTTGCTGCCAGCATGTGCAGTGAGCATACACAGAGCATGGAGAGGTCTCTGGGGAAAGGGCTATTTACAAGCAATGAACCATTAATATCCCTCAGCCAAGTGAGCCCTTTGCCCCCTTTTCCTGCTGTTTACAGCTGCCTCTGCCTGCATCTCCAAGTGGCTTGTTTATTCTGAGAGAAGTAATTTAAAAAATGGCCTTTTTCTACATGTGTCTGAGTGCAAGGTAGTGATCTAATTAGGAGGCTGAGGAGGAAGATCTTGGATGTAAAATGATTAACCTTTTTGTTGCTTAGTGCAGGAATATCTTTGCTCATGTTCAGGACACCTGACTCGTTCACATTATTCATTTTTACAGTGTCTCTCCCCCTGAACCACAGGGAGTGAGATGGACGTGTTCAGCTGACTTCTGACACAGGATCCAGGACTCCTTCTCAAGTACCCTGTCTTTCTCCATCATGTATACAAAAAGCCCAAAGCAATTTAAGGGCTCATCCTGGGTAGAAGGAATCTGGGCTTGGTTTTGGAGTCGCAGCAAGATCGTGGGAACCCTGGCTCCTCAGCCTTGCTCTGGGTCCTGGGGTGTGGATTAATCTGAGACTGCTGAGACTGAAACATCCTTGTCACTTAACATACAAGTTGTCTCCTGTGCCCCTGTAAAGGGGAAAAATGAATGTGTTTACAAATCCCTGAGGAAGCTCAGATGGTCAGTGGCACTCTCTGACTCATGGGATCTGATAATGGAAGAGCACAGGAAGGAGTTCAGCAAATAAGCCCGTGCTTTAGGTGCTCATTCCCTGGCATTTTTCATTCTAATGCAGTGACAGAAGGTGATCCAACCCAGTTTGTTTTGATTTCCCTCTCTTAATGTAGATGTATATAAGACTTGAAGCAGAGTCCTCATATAAATATTTATTACATCATATAAATAATGGATCTTTCTAGTTTGTTTATCTGTGACCAGATCTAGCATGTGAATGAATATGAATTACATGCAGTAAAAACTCCATTCTATTCCAGGGTACATGTTCCTGCCAGCAGAAGAGCTGGCTTTAAGAGACTGCTGCCCCTCCAGCTGTGCATTTCTGGCTCTCTTCTGCTTTACCATCTATGACCATTTTCTATCCTGTTTCCATCAGGACAAGGTTGTGGCTGTGCTCTAATCTTAGTCTTAAGTCAAATGCTTAAAAATAAAAGTGTTGAGCTGGACAATGAGGAGTAGTAACCCCTGACACTACTGGGGGAAGCAGAGGATGGCTGGGACTG